GACCCCCCAGATCCACCCCTGGATCCGCCACTGTTTAGACCACATGTGTCAATGTGACTGGCCAAGATTTATAAACAGTAACTGCAAAGTGTTATCACTGATCTTAAACTATGTGACCAGGTATTTCAGTAATGGCTCTTTATAATGGAATAAAATTTTTACAGTTTAAAGATTTAATATACAACAACATTTCTGACCATTTTTTTCAAGATTTCAGAGTTAATTTTTCATAAAACCAAACAAAAACCAGACTGTAGCCCATTTCTGTCACTGATTCAAGGTCATGACGTCACTGAAAACCCTAGCATTACCACCTAACCTAATTAGGGACGACATCAAAAAAATCGACGTTGGATAAAGAACTTAATTCATTTAGTTTTTCCCAAAACCCCCCACCCCCCACTGAAACTTAATTGATAAATATTGATCATGGCATCAGACTGCATTCACCATTAAATACAAATTGATAATCAGACAGTAGTATGGCATAGCAGTTGGTTGTAATAATGAAGCGGAAATACGCATACGTTTCAGGGTTCTGCGCATGCTCTAGGTCCATGACCTGAAATGGACCTCATTTGACGCACATATTTACACTCCGACCAAATTATTTTCTCGTCTTGGATGTGTGTTTTTTCATTTTCTGTTATTTTTGTCTATGATTGGATAGAAAAAAAAAAAAACGAACTGCAAATACTCCAAGGTTTTTTTTTTCTTCATTAAAAATAAAATCGTTTTTGTAGAATAGAAACTTTTGGAGGTCAAACCCCACCCCCCCCCACCCCCAAACTAAAGCAGATAAGTGTTTTATCCGACATCGATCTTTTGACGTCGTCCCTTATTTATTGTGAGCATGCTCAGTTGTTCTCTCAGTGTTGTTGTTGGGTGAGGTAATTTTGGATGAAAATCATGAAAAATATCCACTTAGAATTTTCAGATCTGGAAAAAAAATTATGTGCATATTCAACAAAGACTTGTTCATCAACCTGCCAAGTTTCATCGATATCTGCTGCAGAATTTCTGAGAAAATGTTGGAGATGTAAAGGAAACAAGACGGACGGAAACCAGAAATATGAAATATGCGGCAGTGCAACTATCTTTTTTGCATATTAATGTGACCTCAGTAGTCCTCAGATCTGCCATAAAATTATGAACATGCCAGGCAATGCATTACTAGTATCTTCAGGAGTTCAATACAAGATTCTGTGTATTACCTCTAATTATGGAGTGAACATTGAAACTTTTAAATTTGTGTTTGACCTTGCATCAAGAGGGAATGTTTTGTGGCATTTTGGTATATTAAATTTGCAATATTTCTTTTCTAAACTACATATTGTTTGCATATTTTTCCTTCATTGTCCATATTTGATTTTTTTTAACCAAATGTTTGCAAG